GCTTCAATGTATCTATCGGAACGATTTCCAATCAATCCAAAAGCTCCAGCGACAACTGGAATTATTGATCTCCTCGTGTGCCACATTTTTGAGATTTCTATTTCAAGATCCTTGTATTTTGACAGTTTTTTGATGATCTTCAAAAATAAATTACAGACTCTAATCATGATGCCTGGGCGATTAACTTTGATTGTTCTATCTTTGTGTATTGTAAAGTCCCATAGAATTGTTGCAGGACATATCTCCGTAACTGGGTCTGGATGGTGTTCATAACTGTTATACCAATCATACCAATCGTCTTTTTAGTATTATTGTTTTATTTCCTTCGATTTCTCGTGTGTACTCATTTCTTTCCGGGTCCCGGCCAGAGACCTAAGATCAGAAATGGCATCTGACATTTTCCACTGACCACTTAGAAAAAAAATCATATAGATAAAACCCTTCATAAGGTGTGGACTGTACTCGTGAGAACAATTTTTTGTATTTCTTTAAGGTATGGACTTCCAGGTATCCCTTCAATGAGTGTATCGGAACCTTTTCCATTCAATCCGAGGGTTCCAACTACAATAGGGATTATTATTATTATTATTATTGGGATTATTATTATTATTATTATTATTATTATTATTATTTCCTTTGATTTCTAGTGTGTACACATTTCTTTCCGGGTTACGTCCAGAGACCGAATGTTAGAAATGGAATCATGATATTTTCCACTGACGAATTAGAAAAAAAAATACTTTACTTAGATAAAGCCCTTCTTAAAGTGTGGGCTGTACACGTGAGAATATTTTTTGTATTTTTTAAAGGCATGTGCTTCCATGAATCCCTTCAATAAGTCTACAGGAATCTTTTTCCACCCAATTCGAAGGCTCCAACTACAACAGGAATTGTTGATGTTCCCATGTGTCACATTTTTGAGATTTCAATTTTAAGGTCCTTGTATTTTGATAGCTTTTTGATCTCTTCAAAGATACATTGCAGTCTGCAGGGACTGCCATATCAATACGGAGGCACTTTTTTAGTTTACGGTCTCTATTAACAATGTCTGGGCGGTTAGCTTTGATTGTTCTATCTGTGTGTATTGTGCAGTCCCATAAAAATGTAATAGGTCTGGGTGGTGTTTATACTAATTTCTTTCAGTTTCCTTCCCGTAGAAGTTGCAGATTTTCCAGTGCAGATATTGGCCCAATCTGTCATGGCAGGTTTTATATTCAGTTGGTGCCAATACCGTGCAACCTTATACAAGATGATCAATTGTTTCTGGATATTTATCACAGAATCTGCATTTTGGGCTAACACAATATTTTAGTATGTGTACTTGATAATTTCTAGTTAATAAGCATTGGTCCTATGAAGCAACGGTAAAACCTTCGGTTTCAGCGTTTAAATATGCACTGCGTAGCCACTGATGGGTAAGGGGCTTGTCTACATCAGCTTGTTTGGTACGGGCAGAATAAATCGTTATTATTATTATTATTATTATTGTTGTTGTTGTTATTATTATTAGTAGTAGTAGAAGTATTTTATTCTAATCTTCCGAACGGTTTTTAGTTTTCAAGCGGAGTTTTTGAAATATGAATGTTCTCCATCGAGCCGTACAATATCAAACAGCATTTGATTGTTGGACCAGTTAGCTTTCGTTAATTATCCAACTAGAAAGAAAAATCTGATATAAAATCTGCGGCTTGAGAGCATTCTTCTTTTTAGATTGTTGTGTCGGAAACCTACCACCCCTCTTGAAGATGAATTTGTCTGCGTCTGTGAAGAGAGACTTTAAATAATGAGACGATAGATAGACAAAGAAGTTCTTAGCTGAGCTAGTTATTGACTACTCAGGCGATTTCTGTACCTATTTACCAACCTATTAAAACCCTTTTATTTGTTACGTGTTATTTGGCGTTTGTCTCTACTAACCCCAAATCAACATCATAACATAGATACATGATGTACTTGCTTTGCAATTTACACAGTGCAAAGACTTTCTACACTTTAAAAATTTAGTGTACAGATATACTTAACATCCTAACTCACAAGTCAGTCCTGTAATTAATTCTTACGATGGTTATACTCGACAATGAGGTGGTAGCCATAATATATATACATAAACATATGTCTGCGTATATATATATATATATATATATATATATATATATATATATATATATAATTATTTATTTAAAAATATGATTCCACCACACTCCATAAGAGGTCTCATGTTTCAAAACAAGAGCCGAAAACTTCAATATAATCATTTGAATTAAATTGAATTAAAGTAAGCTCTGTTCCATCTTCAAGCGACATTTTTTTGGGAAACTTTGGATTATTTACCTAACGAGTTCTTTTTCCTATTTTCTTTATATTTTCACACACACACACACACACACACACACACACACACACACACACACACACACACACACACATATATATATATATATATATATATATATATATGGTTGGATTGATGTGAATTTGTGACCCTGGGTTTCACGCTATTTGTGATAGACAAACTGACTTTATATATGGTTGCTTATATCTGTGTTTTTATGTTAGTGGAGGAAAAATTGTCGTCGGAACGCCACTCATACGTACGCAGACACACATGCACACACGTTCACGCATTGCAGCTCACACAAACATAAACATATATGAACAGTGTGGGACTGGTTGTATATGCGCATCCTTGTGTCGTTGCGTACATACGTACGCTAGTGGTCGCTGTATTCAATGTTGGATTTGTGTAGCGAACATCTTTCGTCAGTTACCGTGAAAGTATTTGTAGAAAAGACAGAGGGAAGCCACGGCGCGTCTGTGAGAAAGGGACTGTAGACGAGATGCCAGATCAGGACCAATTACATTGCATATCCGTATTGCATATTTACATTTTTTTTTTAAATAGAAAGTATGACATGCCAAAAATTTTGCTTATTTTTCTTAGATCTTCACTGTTAGAAACAATAAGCAAAAATAAACCAGTTTTAATTTTTTAAAAAATGGACGTTTATTCAATAGTGATCTTTTGTCAGGCAGTTGAAACTAATTCCTCTTGATATCATCTAAGGACAAAAATAGGATTAGCTTTTTAATTACAAATAGATGTTTGCGATTCACGTTCCGAAGAAGAAAAAAAAAAAAAATGAAATCACCTTGATATCTATCGAGATTTCTAATTGGTCAACCGTTTCTCTCGCCAATATTGGATACACAATATTTCATTATTTCCTTGAGGTAAGCTACCCACTTGCATTTTAGAATAAATTGGGATGTCAGTGCCAGACATAATTCTTAATCTAAATTTTAATTAATGTACGTTTCCTCCAGTCTATTCGAATAAGATACTAATCAAATTGTTTTTATATATATATATATATATATATATATATATATATATATATATATATATATATATATATATATATATATTCTCTCAATTATATTTGTTGGCCTAACTTAAAAGAATTTAGCAAACGAACAAAAATAACATTTCCCCTCATTTCTGTTTCCACCACACCAAACGATCATTTTCTTCTTGGAATGACACTTTTGAACTATACGTTTTACGGCATGTCGGATTTCCTTCTTATTTTGAAATTGATTTAGCTGATCCAGCGTAATGAGAAATATCTTGATTTTTAAAACAAATTCTGTAAATAATTTCTGCAAAATATTTGCGTTTTATATTTTTCTATAATTTTTTTTTGTTTTCTTCTTTTATATATATTTACAAATATGGCAGCAAGCCAAAAATGTTAAATTCGTTTACTGTCAAATACCCTCGCGAAAGGCATGAATCCATCTTTCTCTCCAAGCTATGGGTTAATTAGTTAGACTTTTATAACTAAAAACCATTATTATTTAAAAATAAATTTGCGTACAAAATATCTAGCTTTCGGCTTTTAAATAATATATATATATATATATATATATATATATATATATATATATATATATATATATATATATAGTTTTAAAAACAAGGAATGTATTGATTTTAATTTTAAAAAGTCCCTAAGGCCCTTTCAACCAACATCTCATCAGGAGACAATCGTTGGATCAACGAAAAGAATATTAACGACAATGAAGAGCAAAAAGGAGGGGGGGAAAAACACTAAAAAAAAAAAAAAACAAGTGTATATATTTGTAACGAGGGGAGGGGAAATAATCGTGTAAATAATTTTTTTTTTTTTAGTGTGTTTCCCCCCTCTTATATATATATATATATATATATATTGGTGTCACACCAAAATTGCCCAACTTGTGTAACAGAATGGGATAATTGTACATCCCACAAAATCATCCTAAAGCTAGTGGCAATTTTTTTTTCTGGGTGCAGACCGAATACTGATCATATTCGGTCGGGTCGCCCATCGAAGAAGTCTGTTGTTTATTTAAACCTGAAACTTCTAGTGACATGGGAGCAACAACACGGACGGCACACCTAGATTCGGCACTTAAAGGTGTATTTTAATAATAATAATAATAATAAAAAAAACACTAAACTAATTTTTTCCAGGTTTTTAGACAAGACGTTTAGCCATCTTTAGACCATTTGTCGTAAGAATCACTTAAAAACCCTTTGAGTTATTCAGCTAGAAAGAGAACAGGTTCATACCGTTTTGTGTCAGTTCCACTATATCTTGCCATCTGAGCAATGGCGAGAGGAAAATGATCATGGTAACAACATTCATACTCTGGTTTCCATCTTCAAAGTCTATTCAAGAAACATCAAGAGAACGGTGAATAATTTTTAAAAAGTGGGGACAGTAAAGAGGAAAACTGGAATCAGGAGGTCATAGCAGCAAAAGGATTCATCAGTTGAACTTAGAGCTAAATACATTCTTATTGTTCAAAGCAGATTCCAATAATGTTATAAAAACCTCGGAAAATTCCAGTAAGATATCTTTAATCATTTCTAAGCAACAACGGTTCAAAGCTGAATCTAACAATTGGACAATTTTGTTGTTACATAATTTGGACAATTTTTCTGTTAGACCCAGTATATCTATCTATCTATCTATCTATCTATCTATCTATCTATCTATCTATCTATCTATCTATCTATCTATCTAATATTGAAATATATTATTTGAAGATTATGTTGAAGCTGTAATTAGTGTCAGAGTGAGTTTTCCGAACTTGATCTTTCCACATTTTATTTTTAGTTTCACTTTCACTTTCACTTGTCTTGTCTTAGAGACAGTGACTTATTTTCCCCTGCTTTAACAACCTATCAGTTTGTATCCATATGTAGAGCATTTAGACATTTGCCTGATTCAAATACATTTACTCTAATTAAAGGCATAGAATTTTTTATATAGTCAAGTAATAAGCCATGAAGAGTATCAGTAAATCAGTCTTGTAAACTATGTTTAGTGAGTGTGAATCTAACTTGCCCTTTGAAAAATTAAGCTAAATACACACATAGAAATATTGCCTGTTGGTTGTTTTAAAATGGCTCCCGTCCACTATGTTAATATTTGGCATTTATTTTTCAACCGTAAATAAACTGCCAACGACACAAATTTGTTCAGTGTGTTGAAAATAGGAACTAAAACCATATTAACACTTATGAATGAAAAGAGACAAAATGTCTGAGATATACAATAAGAAAAGAAGGCCTAGAGAATGTAGCACTCACGGGACATAACGAATGCAACGGAGACAGCGCAGTAGGGGAAACAACTTATTTAATAAGTTTGCGCGAATGGATGGCAGAACAAGAACAAAGAAGGATGGTATAAGATAAAAAACAGAGCAACAAAATGCAGGAAGATGTGGAGAACCATAATCACATATTTAATGTGTTTGTGTGAATTGATGGCAGGACAGGAACAAAGAGCAGTGGTAATGAGCTAGTTACTTGGAGCAAAAAATGAGAGGAAGATGTGGAGAGCCATGATCACCCATGCCTTTGAAAGAGGAAGAATGACTTTTTCAAAGTAGCATTCTTGTTCTTTTAGGTTTTCATAATAATATTACAGCTGTTTTACACTCCAGCATTTTGAGGTAAGCCCGGCAAGTGTGTTACTACCGATCACCTTCTCTAGAGCAATGAGAGCGTGCTTCTTCGCGCAGCTGCTACCAGAGACTGGGCACCTCTCAATATTTGTAAGGTTACGCTCTGTCCGTAGACAGAGATATAACTGAGTTGCGCTCTGCCCGAAGACAGAGACGGAACTGAGAGATGTCAAAAAGCACAAGTAGGACAATTACCATTGCAACTACCTTACCTAGCGAGTCTTTGCCTAACGCCTACTCATAAACGTATGCCGCATATTTTTTAAGCTTTTCACCCCAAGCAAGGCGGGAGTGCCACTAGCACGCAAGGGGGTTACATAGAGTGGGAGCAAGATTAAAGAGGCGTGATAGACGAGAGGATGAAGAGAAGGATGGGGAATAGATCAAGGCATCTGGAGATGTCAATTGATATTGCATTTGAATATTTGGAGATTATAGCTACCAGGGAAGCAAGTAAGAGGAAAAGAGTTCCACAGACGGGAAGTGCGAAATATGAAGCTATTGGAGTAGAAGAGACGGCTACATTTAATTGTTTCGACAGTGAAAGGGTGGGACTGAAATGCCAACCTAGTAGAACGTTTAAATCCATGCAGTTTGGAAAGCAGTGAAATTAGTTCGTCGGAGCAGTTACCATTAAAGTATTTATAGAAAAGACAGGGATCAGATGGCACGTCTGAGAGAGCGACTGTAAACGAGATGCCAGAGCAAGGCCAATCATATTGCATATCTATGCTAATTAGTTGTAGCACTAACAAACCTACTACTACAGATTCTTTGCTATAAGATGTAACCGTAAGTTTTATGCTAGCAGTTTCTTCTATTGCACTTCTCTCTTGTGGAAACCTCTTTCTTCCGTCTTTTATTTCTCAGTCAACTTTGATCTTCAAAAATTTAATTCTATTGACAATCGTTATCTTCTGTCTTTTTAATACTTGTTCTTTTACTGTTCTCTCTCCTTAATATTGTTTTTTTTCCTCATATTCTCTAACGTTGAATAAACTCTTGCATCTTAGTGGCTTTATTGCCTTGTTTGGTGTAGAATGATTTAAAAAAAACGGTCTCATCTTTTACTTTAAGCATCAGCATAAGTCAGTATTTCCCAAAAACATATTGTCCGTGGACATGAACGCAGATATTTTTGCTCGCTGATCCCCAAGACGGAAACAGTGGTTCTTTGTTTCCGCATTTAGAATAATCCATTAAAATTTTCCTGTATTTTACTTTAATTTCATAATCAATAAATCTGGATATTTCTGACGTTGTTCCAGGAATAATGAATGGTGCATCTTCCTGTAAATGTATCATGTGCGTATCTCAGGGCGTAGGTCATCGAAAACAGCAACGCCAACAGCGAGTAAAAATCAATACTGCGATTGAATCAAGTTCCAGCCGTCTCGGCCTACAAGTACTGAATGTGAACAGACTGAAATACGTCTGGTGTTTTCGTACATTTATCGAGGGTCTGTTATTCTCAACTATTTTTACTGCTCCAGAATTTCAATGACGTTTTCATATTCCAAAAATTTTACTCTAAACTTATTTGCATTAAGTCTTACTTTAAAAAAAAATGTTTAAAACAGTTTCTTAACGCTAGAAAATCTGGATGAAACTTGAAGAAGCGGATACGTAGAAAGAAATTCTTTCATATAACTTTGCGCATGCGCCTGTAGTAATTTTTTACTCATTGATACTATCCGGCGTAACTTAAGATGGCTTACTATCCGTCAAAGACGTTTTTTCCCTGGGAGATGGCAGATAAAGTTTACATTCAAACAGTTTTACCTCGTTGTTATTGGTAATTCTGTTTTATTGTTTATACATTTTGAAATTTATCATCGATTCACGTTGATAAATGTTACTTGGAAAGATGGCCACCGAAGTGGAATTATAACGCCTGTTTCTTTTGGTTGTTGACATCAGTCTCCGTTTTTTCAATTTATATTTAAGTTATTTCTTTTATTTTTCTAAATCACTGTGACCCTCTTGTGTCGTAACCACTAATTAATGTAACACCTGGATTAAAATGATGATTAGAATGATATGAAAGGATTATTGTCAGCAACTTTCAGACAATGGTGTGTGAAAGTGGTGTTTGGTGAGAGTGAAAAAAAAAAACACACACACAATCAACGGGCTTTTTTTTGCAGTGGGAGTAAGTGAAGTAATCCTTGGAAGTGTCTCTTAAGAAAGGTTGTTACACTATCCTCCTGAATCAGTGTTTCCCAAAAGGTACGGTGCGCCTCAAAAGTGCGACAGAAAAGGATAGCAGGTGAGGCGGAATGATTGAAAGACAATCAAAGATTTAAGAACAGTTTTAAAAAAATTCATATGCCAAGAATAAATAATTTTTCACAATTTAAAATATTATGGATTGCTTGTAACTGCATGCATGAATCTCAGTATAAATAGTTATAAATAATTAACCGATTTTATCAATGTGATATTTTTGCATTATATCAAATATTATATATAATAACTAGAGTGCGCAAATTTGAGAAGAGAGTTATCAATGATAATATTCTGAGTTTGAATCCGCGGTTATCTCGCTTTAACCTTCTCTCTGTTTTTTTTAATCATTTGGAAATGTAATTTTTTCCTATAAAATTTGGTAAGTCGTGAGCAAATTTTATTTCTGAAAATGCGGCCCAGAGAAAAAAACTGTTTGGAAACCACTGTTCTAGATGAATGAAACGTTTAAGCCTCTTGTTAAATACATTGATGAGGAACTGGGCACTTCGGCATGGCGCAAGTGTTAGAAATCTCGATCAATTAAGCCTGAATAGTAAATTCGATCCTCTTAGTAATTACGCTTAGTAAAATCGTCATTGGTGATGAGTAAATTAACACTTAGTTTGCTTCCCTAGAACTGTTGCAATGTGTAACGAACTCCTTGATGAATTCTCCTGATCATTACAATCTTAACCACTTTAAGTCGAGCGTCATTGTTTCATTCGTTTTTTACGGCTTATCAACCCTTTGCCGGTTATTTAAACCCAGAAGATATTTTTAGACCGTAAAAATATTTTTGGAGATAATAACGTTTTAGAGTGATACATGTCTTACTAATTAACCCATAGGTGGGGGAAAAGATAGATTCATACTTTTCTCAGTGGTATTTGTGCGTAAGTGAATATAACGAACCTAACGGGAATTAGAACTAAGCTCCCCGATTAACAATTCCGAGCTATTATCCATTACACCACCCGCACATCCAAGTCTACAGCACTTGTTATTCCCAAGCGGTCACCCATTCTGGTACTTACCAAGCTCGACGTTGCTTAACCTCACTGATCGTACGGGAGCCAATGTTTCAACGTGATGTGGCTGTAAGCCTAGTCAAGGGTCAACAGTTTGTCTATCCTACATATCCTCATAATATTCAACACTTGCTTCCCCCTGTAAACCATTACAGCAATCCCTTTTAGAAACCCTCTACATAGTGCATGTCAGGTAACTCGTAAAGAAAATAAAGACAATAAACAACACGTTGACATTCCACACTATTTGAAATAAAAGGTTAGAAGGGAACCCCCCCCCATCACTATTGGTGACACCGTTAACAGCTAGCGGACTTGAGAAACCTATTTTCCTGGAAGATTGTTTTAAGAGGAAGATTTTATAAACTTCAACTGAAAGGAGTATTAACTACTCGGTCAATTAATACCAAATGTTTCCTTATAGGGAAACGGATAATGTTACAATTCTTCTTAAAACTTGCTCGCCTGTTCTGGTCTAGGACACATAATGAAGAAAGAGGGCTTGGAAAATTTGATACTAACTGGACAGATTGATTGCAAGAGGGACAGAGGAAAACAATACATGACCTACCCAGCGAAGTTGTGTAAATGGATGTCAGAACAGGGTTTAGGAGAGATACCAAAAAAAAAAAAAAATTTACTGAAAACGACAAAAAAAGGAAATTGTGGAGAGCCATGAATGCCAATACTCTGAATGAGCAAAGCACATAGAACAAGTGAGGAATTAGAAATGAGGAGAACACATACTACACTTTGATCCAACTTTGATAGCTAGGCAGTGACTGATGCTAACCTCCAGTAGCACTGGCTGCTCGGCCAATGAATGTCAAATGTTTCCTTCTACCGTTGATATTTCCATTCTCGTTGAGTGGATCTTAGGTCTTGCATAGGGTAAACAATAATAATAAAAATATCTTTTTCTGGGATTCCCAACCCAATTTCAGATTTTTCTTTCTGTGTCTACATCTTTTTTTTTTTTAATTTGGAAGGATCCTTTTTTTTTTTTATTCACGAATCCATTTGTAATGTTGAATGATTCCCTGTCCATGTGCCAATTGTTCCTGGCAAATAAGTTAAGTTTTATTGAATCTGACAAGAAGAACAACGTCTGTTTCTTCCAAGGAAGGCAAAAGACAGGCTTGAAATGTTTGAAAACGTGCGATACAAATTTTACATTCTTTCCTATGTCACTTTTTTTTTTGTAAATACTTAAAACATTTACACACTCCATGGATAAGATTGAAAGGCTCATAGAAAAAAAGAAAAAAAAAGAAAGAAGTATTGTGCTGAATCAAAAGCATTGGGAATGAGGGATTCGTTCGTTTGCTGAATAGAAAATTATGGTGTAGTTGTATTACGAATGGATCGGGATAAAGAATAAAGGATCGTGTGTAGAAATCAAGTAACACAATTTCTCCCTATCCGACAGAGCGCCAGATTTATATTGTTTTCGGATGAATGAAAAACAATTCAAGCTTAGAGTAAATTCAACTTCACTGCATGATGACGACGAGAAGGGAAAACAAATGAAGCAGTAAATTGAGTGAAACGTTCGACGATGAGATGACAATAAATGATTTGGCGATCGTCAGGAAATTTGGAGCCTCAGAGTGCCTTGAGAATTTCATGCAGAGATAAAATTAACGAACTAAATTGAATACAATGTGCTCAAGCAAACAAACATAGACACACACGCACCTATCTATCTATCTATCTATCTATCTATCTATCTATCTATCTATCTGGGGACGTTAATTATCTATCTCTCTTGGACTATTCATTATCTATCTATCTATCTATCTTGGACTGTTCATTATCTCTCCCCCCTCTCTCTCTATTTATCTATCTTGGACTGTTCATTCTATCTATCTATCTATCTATCTATCTATCTATCTATCTATCTATCTATCTATCTATCTATCTTGGGCTGTTCATTATCTCTCTCCCCCCCTCTCTATTTATCTATCTTGGACTGTTCATTCTATCTATCTATCTATCTATCTATCTATCTATCTATCTATCTATCTATCTTGGACTGTTCATTTTCTCCCCCTCTCTCTCTATTTATCTATCTTGGACTGTTCATTCATTCATTCTATCTATCTATCTATCTATCTATCTATCTATCTATCTATCTATCTATCTATCTATCTATCTATCTATCTGGGGCCCGTTCGGCATTAAATAATCCATTGAGGTTGATATGCCGTAAAACAAAACAAAAACAAAGTATATTTTTCTCAACCGGTGAGGCAGTGTTGTCAATGCAAATTTGCTGTCTTTCATGAAGGATTCGTATTATATTTTGACATTTTTTATGTATTATCGACCCTGCCTCTTCTATAATGAGATGCTTTAAACTCTGCAGTATTTCAGGATTTCTGTTATAATCACTGTTCTTAATATGATTCCACGCAAAGAACAAAAGTCTAGATGTGCCATGTCAGGATTTCTTGCTGCCCAAATCAGCTATCGATTTGCTAAGTTTTTATCCAAAGACTCTATGGCGACACGTGAACAAAATACAAGTGCGCTCTCTGGATAAAGGTTCTTTTTTTGGCAAAGATTTTTTTTTTTTGTTTTCTATCTTTGATTCCAAGCGATCTTTAGATTTCTCGAGATTTGTTGGTGTCTCATTGTCCTGAAATTTCATTATCTTAGACAGCGCGTGCCGCCCAGGGTTCGAAGAAAAAGAAAGTATTCACTAGAAGTCCGACGAATCATTCCTGGGGGTGGGGGGATGTCCGTAACAAACTTGCCGCGATTCACTCAAACACGTTGTCTGGATTTGTCAGCTTTTGCGAGGATCACAGAACCGTTTCAAAGTAACGTTGCGAAACTTCACGTAATAACTGAAAACAGTAAAGAGTACGAAGTCTTTTGGTGGAGGCTGCTCAACAGGCTGGGTAACAATGAGCATAAGCTGCTCGCGTATTTCTCTCGAACGGTCGGTAGAGTAATAACAGCAGATTTTTCAATGCCACATTATATAGAGGCACGGTGGAGTAATGGTTAGCGGCTTGGATTGAGGAATCACAGAGCCGAGTTCGAATTCCAGTCGAATCCATTACGTTCACTTACGTGCTAATACCCTTGGGAAAGGTGTGAATCCTCTTCTTCTCCCTCCAGCTATGGGTAAATAGCAGGACAGACTGGGTTCTATAGCCTTGGATGGCAATACTGAATTCAAAACCTGCGGAGGGTCGTTTGGGAACCTTGTGGGATTCGGTGCACCAGGTGTCTGTATTCGGCCCTTCAAAAAGTGTGGATGGTCCTGCACGAAGCCTTCACCACTATAATCAAATCTCATGTGCCGCTGTCGGTTTCCTGGAAACTGATCTGCTTGACCCTCATACGTCGAATCTCGACGGGAGAGTCGATTGTTATTATTGTATATATATATTTGTTTGGAAGTAAAGTCTGATGATCCGCAGTCTTTTTAAAAGGACTGTGGTGAAATAATTTATTACATGGAACCTTAAAGTGGTCTGTTTTTATTTAAATTATTTGCTCTGGATTTACATTGAGCTCTCTGGATTTTATCCTCCTTAGGTTTACCCATACGGATTACCTAGTTTTTCATAAACTATATATATATATATATATATATATATATATATGTAATATTAGTGGTCAATGTATATATATTTCGAAGAGTATATAATCTAGGTAGAGCTCTATCTACAAGACAGAAAAAGAGTATAATATAAAATACTAATAGTCCATGGTTATAATTTATATAATCACGATCCAATTCATCAGACCTACAAATTCAAAAATAAAACAGAAAATATAACTCCCGGTCTAAAAAAAACAAAATTTCAGTGAGAGTGTATGTGTGGGAGTGAGAAACAAGGGTGAGAGGGAAAAGTTATGAAAGCTCTAGAGAGAGAATAACAGAAGAAAGAGGGACAGGGAAAGGCCTTAAAAGTGAGGGTGGGGAAGAACATTTAAAAGGGTGAAATCTTAAAGAGAGAAGGTTAATGGTTGAGATGCAGATAAATATGTGTTATTATCAGTTACATAAATCACTACCGAATCGTTGACCTAAAATTATAATATAATAAAATTTGCATCATATATATATATATATATATATATATATATATATATGTGTGTGTGTGTGTGTGTGTGTGTGTGTGCTTAGGCAGCAATCCTTCTTTCATGCACGTTTCATTCAATACGACAGGGAAGATGCTTTGATTTAGTTTTTTATACAATTTCTCATGCGAGCTAATAATTCTTTTCCGTTTCCGATGATAAATTATATAAAAACTTTATATCATTTTTTTATATAATTTATCATCTGAAATTTTTAAATTATGAAATGTTTAGATCGCATGAGAAATTGTATAAAAAAAAACAAATCAAAGCACCTTGTCTGTTGTATTCAATCATATATATATATATATATATATATATATATATATATATATATAGAGAGAGAGAGAGAGAGAGAGACAAGAGGGAAAACTATTCTTAGCAGACATGTTTCGTCCTCTGAGGGATTTTATCAGGGAAATGTAGGATTTACAGTATTTACATTAGTCGGACTATTGTCCTCACCTTTGTCGCCATATTTGTCACAATGTTTCGGCCGTTGTACGCTCCGGCCTCCTTCAGGTGGTTGGAATGTCGAAATGAACCCTTTATTTCGATCACTGTGCCATGGGTCCTCAAGGACACATGGCACAGTGGATAAAGACGTTGGTTAGATCCAGTGACAGACCCAAAGAAGGTGAGTTCAATACCTGGTTAAGGCAGTGGAGAACTTTCAGAGGGGAAAAATTAGCAGGAGATAACTGATAACGGATATCCATCAAACATGGCACGTGGAACTAGAACAGTCTACCCCAGTGATCGAAATAAAGGGCTCACTTCGACATTCCAACCACCTGAAGAAGACCGGAGCGTACAACGGCCGAAACGTTGTGACAATTATGGCGACAAAGATGAGGACAATAGTCCGACTAATGTAAATACTGTACATAATACCTCATCTCAGAAATATAGACAAATGTAGGATTTATTTTGTTGCACGTGTTTATATACAAATGCAAGGATGTCATTGGTTCATCAAGGCTTTTAAATTTGAGAACGTTCATGAATATTTATCAGGTGGTTGAAAGGTCAGTCAAAATATGTGGAGGACACAAAGGTTCATAATTATGGTAAAAAGTAAGCAAGTAATATTTAAGAAATATTTTTAAAAATGAATATTGTTTAAACTGTAATTAGATTGTCATGTTATGGGATGGATGGATGTACTGTACATGAAGAAATGGATTTAACTGTTTTCTTTTGACTTTTCAACTTATATGTGGTCGTGTATCTTGGCTTGAGAAAGTAGTAATTCTTTCACGAAAGGTGAGTTTGGAAAGAAACCAGGACATAGATTTATATTTTGATAAAATTCGATAGCGGAACTTTCGAGAATTTTCCTTCTAAGTAAGTTACTTTCTCTTTCGTTAGATGTGGCATTATTTAGTTCAAAATTGTTGTTGAATTGATTTCTGTGTATGACTATTGCATTTGATAAATTCTTGTGTATAAGTTATCCTTTTGTGTTCATAGATAAGTATTTTAAATTTCTGCATGTTTCCCCAATGTATGCCTGCTTTTGTTATGCGTGTTTTAGTCCTGGTCATATCCATAATGGTTTGGAAAGTGGTTGTGACTATATGGATGTTGTTTAGATGGGACAAGTTGGTATAGTAGATTT